GTTTGTTGTTTTTGTTGTTTGCAAATAATAAATATTCTTTTATTCAAAGCAGTATTTATTATTATTTAATTATTATTTAATCTATTTGGCGGTAAGTGATCACATATAAAGATAATACAATAGATACAATAGTTTCACACCAACACGTCTAGTAGCTTTCCGTTTACCAAATCCCTTTTCTGATAATATAATCAAACTTTTCGTCAACTGTAATACTTAAATCTTGCACTGTTTTACGTATATATATTTGTCTGTCGAACTCTTTTCAATAATCAATGTCAATCAGGAAAAACATGAATTTTACAATTAAGTCAAATGAAGATAATACAATAGTTTCACACCGAACATAAGTGCCTTTCTGTTTACAAAAATACCTTTTCTGATAAAATTAAAAAACTTTTGTCATCTTACACTTAAAATGCACAGTTTTGCGTATTTGTCTGTCGGAATCTTTTCAATAATCAATGTCAATCAGGAAAAACATGAATTTTACAATTAAAGGACAGACACCAAGTGGTACAAATAAAGAAAGGAGGATTCCAAGTGAAAAAAGAAAGAAATTGTTTTTGATATTTTGGTGACAACTTTATAAATATGGCGTGTGAAAATCCCGAATGATATGAACCATTAATGATTACTAATTATGATATAATAATGGGAATAATTTAAAAGAAAATAGAATATTTCTGAAATATCATAAGAAATATATGTCTGGCACGGATTTTCCCACTGACAATGCATTTTATATCTGCTTTTAAGGTTTTATTGCATTTCAAAATCCTTTCCAATAACATAATATTAATAAAACTAATAAGCTAGTCAAAGAATATACAAAAAGTAGTCATTTGAGTAACCTAAAATGATTTTCACTATTTGCATCGACATATGCTCACTTTGAAATGTCTTTCACATTAACTTTTCATTTTCAGTGATATATATAAATTTGTGATAATATCTTCCTATGTCACACGATGAGGACCAAAAATTGAAATAAGATTGTTTGTGTATATAATGTTGTTTGGGGTGGCTATTTATCAATTCATGGCTAGTACCTTTCCATTGTACCAAATCATTTTTCTGATAATATTAATCAAACTTTTAATCAACTGTAATACTTTAATCTCAGTTTTTCGTATTATGTCTGTCGATCTCTTTTCAATAATCAATGTCAATCAAGAAAAACATGAATTTTACAATGATTTAAAGGACAGATACCAAGTGGTACAAATTAAGGAGGGAGGATTTAAGGTGACAAAAATAAAGAAACTATCTTGATATTTTGATGGCAACTTTAAATATGACGTGTGAAAATCCCTAATGATATAGAGAAACATATTATGAATAATTCAGGTATTGAAATGTCATAAAAAATGTCTGGAACAGATTTTCGGACTGGCAATAAATTTTACATCTACTGTAAACGTTATATTGCATTTCACAAGGCATTTCAATAAAATAATTATACCCACCCACCCCCCCCCCCTCCTCCCCCCCCCACACACACACAAAATACAAGAAAAAAAATATGTGTATTTTTTGTATATTTCATTATGTGCCATGTTATTCATTTTTTTATTGAAATAATTCTATCACCACTGTAACTTTTCAAAACATTTATCAATAGTTTTAGCTCAACTATACGAAGTATATGGAGAGCTGTCCTACTAGACCCGGGGTCGGCGTCCGCGTCCAAATTTAAGATTAAAGTTTTGGTGCAGTAAACTATTTTTCACCATAACTTTACATTTTTAAGGTATCAACTTTAAACTTCAATTATATGTTCCTTATCATCAACCACATCTTATGTGACAAGGTTCATAACTCTAGCATCTACATTTTTAGATTTATCTCCCCTTGAACGTAGAATTTTTCTTAAAAAATATCATTTTTTACTGTTACTTCTTTATTTCTTAAGGGATTAACTTCATTCTTCAAATATATGTTCCTTATCACCAACCACATCTTATGTGACAAGGTTTATAACTCTAGCACCAATATTTTTTATATTTATCTCCCCTTGAACTTAGAATTTCCTCTAAAAATATTATTTTTACTTTAACTTCTTTATTACTTAAGGGATCAACTTCATACTTCAAATATATGTTCCTTATCATTAACCACATCTTATGTGACAATGTATATAACTCTAGTAACAATACTTTAATTTCTATCTCCCCTTGAACTTAGAATTTTCCTTCATTTTTTTCGGTTACTTCCTTATTTCTCAAGGGATCAACTTAATACTTCAAATATATGTTCCTTATCATTAACCACATCTTATATGACGTGCTTTAATTCAAAGCAGTGAAACAATTTAAATTTTAAATTGATATTTCAACTGTTTCTTGTAGTTTTATATTTCACTGATATATTATTTCTATAAACCACCGAAAAACATGTAAAAAATCACTATAACTATTCAAAACAAAACATTTATCAATACTTTCGAATTTTTCAAATTAAAAATTCTATCATTCAAAGCAGTTTTTGATTTTTGTTCTATACTGTATCCAATATTTATATTGTATAACTCGAATTTTACATTCTTTACCATGATATTTATTCAATCCTGCTGAATATTTGTTCATCATAAAAAATATTTGTGTGCAAAAATTGTATATTCTATATTTGAAAATATTTATTGTATAATTAAAACATTTATTGTATGAATCTACTGAAAAATATCTATTCATGGGATAGAACACTAAGCATACTAAGCACCGCCTATAAAGTAAGCACGAGCGTTATCATCCTGATCTGGAGACCGCAGGGTATTGGTACGCGTTTAACTTTTGAGGCATGGAGGAGCACGTGACCTGTTTTCGGTACATGGAGGAGCATGTGATCTGTAAACCGTACATGATTGGTTAATTGACCTTTTCGAAAACCTGGCTAAATACCGTTTGCCGGTACGTTACGGATAATCCTCTAGGGAATAAGTCAGAATTACACCTAATTAAGAACAAAAAACTATTACGTGATATTTTTAATTTTCTATAATTATGTTACCGTTTAAGGTGGAAAAAACTTGAATGATGTGTTTGAAAATTATCAATGTTTCTTTAATATGTATCTCAAAATGTTACAAACAATAAATTGTTTATACTGAAAATCTACAAAATTAAAATATTCGTAGTGGCATCTGCCATAATAAATAGAGATATTTTCTGCGAAAACTTGTGTGTTTACTTTATTAATTAATTTATTTTTTTGCTCGGAATTATTCATAAAATGGTAGGCCTATTTAATCATTTTCTTAAAAAGAAATAATTGTTTTATTTTCGACCTTCTCGGGTCATCAACGGTCACCAGTTTCCAAAGACCTTCTTCTATATTGATCTATCATTGTCAACTATATTCCTGATACAAACGTTTATTTATCCCCCCCCCCAACAATGTTGAAAATAGTTAAATGAAATATCTTTATATCATTAAAAATGTTCCCCGCAGGAAACCATTTTACTTGTTTTAATTGTCACGACATTGTCAGCGATGACAGTCCTGTTGTAATATAGTGATAGCGGGACGTTTTCCGTTATAACAATGTTTTTAATGGACATATGCACGATTTAACAATTAAATAACATTAAGGAAACTTTATGTAGCCCGGAAATCTTATGACCATCCTCCCTGATTGATCATTAAGTTTTATCATAATAAATAAAGATATATGTAAAGCGGACATTATATATAAGTTCTCTAACTTCCCCTTGGAATCAATGTTTCACATACACTGTTTAAATATAGACATGTATCTTTAGAATCTGTATTTAGTTACTCTTTGCTTACAATGAATAGTAATACTTGTTTCCTTTTTGGATTTTTTTCAGTCATTTTAGTAACATGTGTTGTCACAGGAACTGGTAGGTATATTGTATTTTATTTCATTATTTTCAAATTTTGCTAATTATATGACGGTCTTGTTGATGTTGATAGAAATGCTAACCTTACAATGAAATGAAATGATGATGACGATTTTAATATGTGGCGATTTTGTTGACAATGAGGATAATGATGTTGAATCAGGTGATGGTGGTAATATAATTATAATGAATGATTCTGACATTGTAATAGTGATTGGGGAGATTTTGGCAGTGACAACATTTATGATGATTTAGATGTTGACGTTGTATATATTTCTAATATTTACACCAGTGCATTATTATTATTTTGCTGACGAGATGATTGCTCTTTATTATAATTTAGAATCAACAACTAAGTGACAATTTAAGTTAACTAACTAACAAACGAAGAATAAAGCTAAAATGTGGTCAAAACTTCTACAAATTATGTTTTGTTTTAAACCTTTACACACTTTTAATCTCACCAACACGGTATAATTATATTCCATACCCTTGCCGCTTTTTCGACAACATCATAAAACGATAAAGACTTGACGACAGATTTATGTTTTCTGTATAAATACTAGATATGGAAAAATAACATTTTACTTATCATTATTTTGTCCCTGTGTGTTGGGGTGGGGTTAGAACGATAGTTGACAACAGCATACACTTTGAGTCTTCCCCTTAGTACGCATCATGTATCCGACTGGCAGAAACCCGATTGTATATTGTGGCAGTTGCTGACATACATAACGTTATGGTCAAAGGCTTTGTTGATACACGAGGAGGTAAAATTTTAAAGGCCATTTCAAGGGTATCTGAATACATTATTTGTATTTTGTATCGTGCTGTGTATCTCATATATTTTACGGATCACAATTGGTGCATCCGCGCTACGTGATATTTTACCGTTACAAAATCCACTACTGCAGTAGAGTCCAATTTAATCTACTCACTTAAATGATAACCCTATTTTAATGTTGAATGGCACACAGTATACAAATTATTGGCTGTCCAATATATTAATGTATACAAGTGATATTTGTTATGTTTTAGTGCCACCGAGTGCCCCAGAATTTGTAGGTTTGCAGGACATTGATGATTGTAAGAAATGCATTGTTGGTTCTGACAAAGAGAACATTCAAGTCCATTGCAAGACAAGTGGCGGGACACCACCCGTTGATGTTATTGTAACAGTAGGAGACAACTCATTTATAACAATTCCTTATGCTGTTGATGTATCGGTTAATATAGCATTTATCACACTTGCTGACAGTTACCACAATACAACAATCACGTGTTCGGTAATGAATGATGCATTATTGTCACCACTAATCACTACTGCCAAAGTGTATGTTATAAGTAAGTTATGTTTTATCATAGACATTAACCAAAGCAATTACTTTTTTTGAATTTAAATAATTTGAATTATTTCAGTTATAGATATTAAGTACTAGTATGTTTAAACATGAAAAAAGAGCAGTGTTATAAAGACGTTGCAAAAAAAATAAAATTAGTTATGTCAAATTAATTTGTAGTATATATTGATAAGAACTAATGTTTAACCGATAAATTATTTTGCGTTGATAGCCGACAAACGATCCAAAATTTATTAAAGTTTGAAGTTCAGATTGTAAAGAATAACAGGCAATGTGATTAATATTTTACTTCCGGCATATTTTTAGGGGTTTTGTGAGTTCACCTTGCACTATTTGTCCTTTGTAGTACATTGTACTTCGTAGTGGTGGCATGGCCGAGTGTTTAACACATCGGGCTATCTATCTAATGATCGAAAATCTCATGGGTTCGAACCTCGTCAGGGGCAAGTCGTTGTGTCCTTGAGCAACAACATTTTACACTCATTGCTCAGTACTGGTTGCTTCCAGGAACGAATTCGAAAGTGTGTTTTACAAGCTTATAGCTTCCTACACAATGGAACTATATATATATCATACAATATATCAAATCATCAAATCATACAATTTGTATAGCACTGCTACATAGTTCAAGCGAAGCATTTAAAATAGTAATAAATATGTACAGATAATTAAGAAATATAATTAATTAGAATTTAGTTTATCGATTGAAAAGCGCTGTGCAAAACCGTTTTCTTTTTGGGTCACTAAGTAAAAGAAAATACCTATTTTGTTAAAACGGGAGGAGGGAATAAAAATGTGTACAGAAGTTGTTGGTCCAGACCAGAATTATTTCAAAGCAAACTTAAAAAACAATTATCTTGTAATGTTTCACAATCTAAAATGGTTTCTTTTCCAGTTACATGTACTACAATTACTTTTCTGGACTTACGGTGTATATAGTGATCAATAAATTAATATCTTTTATTCAACTCGTTCAATAAATTCAGTATTACATTCACTTTTTAGAATTGATTGAAATTTACTTTTTGTTCGTTAATCGAAGAAAACAAATATTTTGTTTACATTGCTTGTATCAAAACAGGTTTTATCTGTTGATGTTGAATGTTGAATTTTGCTTAAGCCGGTGCTATCGGGCGTGGTCCGTAACATGCAATTAATAAAACAGACTCAGTCTAGTCAAGCCAGAATATTTTCAGTTTTCTTGTGTACGCACTATAAGGATTCTGATTTTCTGTATTTTATAACGATATCTATGTTTCTTCTTTATGTGGAAAATCTGAATATCGATGGGATATATATAAATTATACTCTTAAATCTTTATATTTTCTACAGAGCCTCCAGCTAATGTTAGGTTATCAACACCAAATTACCTAAAAGAAGGGAGTCCTGTACATATCACTTGCCTGAGTCCAAGCTCAAGACCTTTACCAGAGGTTTACTTCAACATTTCTGGTATAAAGGTGTCTTCTGCTGACGTAAATGCGAGCACTACGTTCAATAAGGCCACTTCGTTATACAGTAGCTTTATCAGCCTGACAAATTTTAGACGAGAATGGAACGGAGAGAAAATATTCTGTTGTAGTTATAATAAATGGTACAATACATCTAGATACTGTTCCAAAGCGAAACAAGTTAACTTTATGTGTAAGTGTTTTTTTATATCTAATTTAATATATACTGAAGGAAAGCTTATTTTAATGTTTTAAAATCTTATCAAGATCTTCAGATAGAAAAAAGAACTGACAACCTTTCAAAGTAAACGGACACACGCACACGCACGCACGCACACACACAAAAGAAAAAATATGACTTTGCTTCAAATTGCGTCTAATCTATTGCTTACGAGATGATTTCTTGCACGTAAATTTCAGACCGCCCAGTTATAAAGTTCAATATTTCTGGACCAATGTTAGATATTACCAAAGGAGAAAGAGCACATGTTAAATGTACAGCTGACAGCGTTCCCCCCTCTAATATATCCTGGATTGAGATGTCAGAAAAAGAAGACAAAATAAAGAAGCAATGTGATTATGAAAAGGAATGTGTTTTAGACGTAAATGCAGATGTCATCTCGAAAAAATACTTTGTGTGTGCGATAAGCTATTTGCAACTGAACTACAAGAAAACTTTGATTGTTAACATCTATACATCCAGTAAGTAAGATCTTGTATGACCGTTCCTTTCATTTCAGCTTACATCAGGATACAAATACACTATTGTTATAAGGCTGTTTTAAGTCAAACTCGTATTACAAACTTTAAATATCGATATTTAGATGTGGCTAAAAAGAAATTAGTTAACGTCGATCAAAATGTCGATCAGTATGCCATTTTTTATGACTACCATGCCAGTGAATTTTACGTCGATAGGTATGTCACTACGTTTGTCCTCTTACACTGTCCAGGTACGTATATTAACGGTATCCGCAAATAGATATTAGACCGTGATTGGTGTCGTGCAATTTACGCGCATGCGCACATGCTCCGAAAAACATTAATCGATGGCGGAAGGCAACAATTTCAGTTCATGAAAAATATGTTAATTAAGCGCTAATGTATGGGCATCTGCACAAAAGACTCAAGAAATAATGACAGGTTAGTCTTATTTCTTTGTTATGTATGTAAATTTTTACTAGATCACGCTTTCAATGGCGTAAATCGGGTTGGCAATATTCCACTTTGGATGAATGACATTTACAAAATGGCGGAAAGTTAGTTTGAAACGAGTGAACACGTATAAAATCTGCAGAGTCATCAGGCTTAAACCACTCAAAGAAAACTGACTAAACTTGCACAAATCGGTTTAAAATAAATTAAAGTATGTCGTGAAGGTACTTTTAACACTCCCTTATCATCTGTTCTACTGTTTATGTGTCGTGGTATTTGAAGGAAAATGTTAAATTTTTGTGGTGCATAATTAAATTCACGACCTATTTTAGCCGAAGCATCAGAGGTATTTAAAGACCTTTGAAATATAAATGAAAGCTGAAAAGTTAGTCACTACATCATAGTTAATGGTTTATGACATTATTTATAATTTTCAGCCGAGTAATTTTGATGCTATCTTTTTGAAAATGGATGAATTTTTCCCCATTTTTTTTCATTTACTCAGAAGGTATATTCAACTTCTTTTTTGTAAGTTATTCCAGGTAAGTATATTAACATTAGTACATGGTTATTCTGCATGTGTTGATAAAACAAAATATTTTATTTAGTTAATATACGTACCTGCACTGTCTATAAATTGGAGCAAAAGGGAAGAATTCCTCATAAAATGTCATATATATGAACATTGTATATTCAAATGATTAAAATTAAAATCTTTCTTTTACTTTAGTTAAAAGCAAATAAAAATAAACCAGCCCTCACTTAAAAAGAATTAATTAAGTAGTTCTCTTTTTTTTTCGGTGTCATTTTTCTTAATTTATGTTTTATTGTTCCAGGGAACCAAAAACAAATGTCTGAAATGTCCAGCAACGGAAATGGAAAGCTTATTGGAATCATTGTCGGAATATGTTCGGCGTTGGTTGTAATAATCGTTATCATTGTAATTGTCATAAAAAACAAACGAAACAATGAGCAAGGTAATAAATAAATTGATAGATAGAATTATTTGTTGTAATAGTAGCAAACTTTTATAGTCTGAGATAAACCTTAAATGACAGTTTCTAATTTTGTCATTTTGGACGCTTTTTAGGAATTCCCTTTTCCTATATCCATCATGGTCACATCAGTACCATTTGTATTGTGTGGAGGCCGTAAAAAGTTCCGCCGTTAATAGATGTTATATATTTTCTATCATTGATGATAGTTCAGCTCGACATTATTGCTGTGTATAAATGTTTATGATATTTATTGTTTATCTAATGGACTTTCTTAACTTGGATGGTTTCAGTATTTCTAACCGAATACTGTATAATCAGCATAGGGATGTATATTGCCTTCTTTTCAAATTTGTATTTTGATGCCTTTTCTGTGTTATGATGGCTTCATAACCTCTGATCATCTTTCAAAATTCAACTTTATTTAGTTGCGCCCATTGTTTTCTTGACGCATTTCTTTTGTCATGGAATTACACGAACGTGTCACATATATAGAAGATTCAACGTTGACCGCCGTGTCCGTGGATGTTTAAAATGTTCACCATTTTCATGTTTAAATGTTCATTCTGCTTAAGCCGGAACTAGTGGCCTGGACGGATACTTGCACTTTCCATTACTGTCCAGGAACAGGCTCAATCAAGTCGAGTATGCAACTTTTCGATTTTGGACGTTTTAAGGGATTTTGCTTCACCAATACGTTTTCTTATTTTTCAAATACCAACAATACTACTTCATAAATATAAAACATTAACTTTTCCTTTTTGATAAGTTGAACATGTTACTCTTGTGAAAATATCATAGATGCTCATATCGTTAGCAACCAGTTTAAAGTCTATAGGATGAGATTTTCTGTTTTCTATCTGGAGTTGAAGTAATCAATCATGTAATTACGCTATGTTCGCTATCAGTTTCTCTACTTGTTATAAGGTTTGTAAGCGAACAGCATGGATCCTGATCAGACTGCGCGGATGCGCAGGCTGGTCTGGATCCATGCTAGTCGCAAACCCATTATGTTGGTGTTGTCATGGTGCGGCTCACATACGTTGAATTTACTACAATAAACTACTTTTTATCTAAGCGTTACATTGTTATTGCTTAAAGGAATGCTCAATCTGCTTTTTTCTGTTTGCTTTAATCCTGCCATGATTTACATTGTAAAAAAGTATAAACTGTATTTTTATCAGTTCTAATATTACTTTTTATTTTTCAACAGATCAGCCGAGTCAGGAAAGAAACAGACTTCGACAACGGTTTGT